CTCTGGTTTGTAGGCTTCTATATGCTATTCCGCTGCATGGATTTGAACCTTGATATTCCCTTTAAGGTGCCTTTTCATGCTGATACTCGACGCTCATTTTCGGCGTCAATATAAATCACATGATAGAAATTGACCATCACTGGGTGCGTTCAGCAGAACGTTTGTTTTGCAACTGTTGTAAGTTTCCTTCGCGCTAATTGGATCATACTTTTAGATCTAGAAGAATGGTCCTATCTCAGCAGACAATCATAAAACGGTTGCAAAACTGTTGAGTCTGCTGAACGCAGCCAATTTCTATCACGTGATTTATATTGACGCCGAAAATGAGCGTCGAGCGTCAGCATGAAAAGGTACCTTCAGACAGTGGGCAATAAATGTAGCGTTTTGGAGCACATCGTTCTTGTTTCGTGACAATTGCCGACGTCCTTTCGCGCGCTTTTGGGAACGCTAGGAAACATTCGTGGTCTGTTCCTGTCTGTTCCTGTTCGGCGTTCCGCCTGCTCGCCAATTACAGTTGGTCCTAATCGTGGGAAAAAGAGGAGCTCGCGAGCCAGGAAAGATTCAGAACAGTGCTGTATTACACGACGGTGTTAATTATTACGCGATCGAGCATTAATGCATGATATTGCATATTGACGTATGTATCTACGTATATGTACACCGCATCGAGTGACTCGTCGGGTCGGAGTACAAGTCAGTCGATGTAGACTGGAATAGCTCGCGGGACAGGTAACGGTAGCACAACCAGACACTTAGGAGCGGTCGGAAGTTTGCGCGACAACGCGATATACATTTCACGATAACGTTCAACGAGCAACCGCGTGCCGGCACACATTGATTTACGCGAGTACGGGAATTGGTTATTGAAAAAATGGCGGCCGAGGCAATGCTGAACAAGAACCGAATGATGGTGTTTAAGAACAAAGGCAAAGACCAGGAGGTGAGTGAATCGTTTTTGCTTCTCCACGATGAAATAATTGAGTTTCTCGTGCGATGAAAATTTTTTGCTGGACGAGACGTTCTCGCATTCGCCGTCCTGGCATTCTGCACGATGCCATTTTTCCCCTCCTCTGAACTCGTGCGTGCGTTTATACATGCGAATTGCTTCACCTTCCTTCAGATTTCTCTCTATCCCTTTTCCTTCCGCACATGTTTTCCTCTTGTTTCTTTTTATCCTTTTTGCAGCTATTATCTTTTTCTTTCCATCTTCCATATTTCTTACATTGCCACTTTATCCCTTCATTTTTTCTTCCTTTTTCGTCTCTTACTTTTTTTCTCATTTTATCGACTCTTGTCTTTTCTCTTGTTTTACTTGTTGTTTCTTGTATAATTTATTGGATTGTTTACTACTTTCTTTTTATAATTATATTCAAATTGCAATATTATTTGTAATCATTATGCATCATAATAGTTTTTCATAGTATTATTTTATTACGTTATATATATTTGTATTCTCAACATTTATTTATCTTGAGATTATACAAAATTTTTGACGTACATATTTATATTAAAATATATGTAAGAATCATTTAATTATAATCTTTACCATATATTCCAATTATGTAAAGTATATAATTAATGAATTATTTATTATATTGATCCTATTAAAACCATCAATTTAAATAAACTTGATTTTTTCAATTAAGTAAGAGAAGCGTCAGTTACAGTCCAAGTTAGATGTTTGAATGATACATTTATATGTATATATATATATTTTAAGTAAATTTTTTTAAATAAATTATGATTGTGCATCAATTACTTTTGGATAACACAATCTAACTGAAATAATAATAATTGAAATAATAACTGAAATAATAATAAAACTTCAAATTAAATTAGATCTTCGATTTGATGTTAACTAACATTTTAAAACCTGTAAAGAACTTATTAAGAAAAATATTATCTCAGCTAGAACTCAAACCTGGATACTTGATTTTTATCTCAGTAATGAAATTTTATAACAATTTTATAACTAAATATATATTATTATGAATAATATATCAAAATTTAAAACTTAGATGCATAATTTAAAAGAGTAAAAAGATTCATATGATTCTTATAATTCACATATACATACTACATTGTAAAACTATTTTAAAAAAAACTGATATGTTACAATTATATAACTTAAAATTAATATTTATAGGAAATGAGAAGAAGACGTAATGAAGTGACAGTAGAACTACGTAAAAATAAGCGAGAAGAAACTTTACAAAAAAGAAGAAATGTACCTATCACAGATTCAACAGGTAATATTAAAAACCAAAATTTCTCTTTTTATTCAATTTTAATATGAAAAGTATAAGCATGAAATAAGTTGAAATGTTACAATAATATATATTATTTTTTCATATAGATGAGGATGACATTGATAAACAGCTTTCGAAAATCAATTTGGAAGAGTTGGTAGCAAAGGCAGGTAGCTTAGATCCAACAATACAATTACAAGCTGTGCAATCAGCAAGGAAATTATTATCATCAGATCGTAATCCACCTATTGATCCATTGATAGATAGTGGTATTTTACCAATCTTAGTTCGCTGTCTTGAACAACATAACAAGTAAGAAACATTTTTTGTGAAAGTATGTTATATGTTTCTTATGTTTTTAAATATCTTTATCATATCACTTGTTTATTATAATTTTGGAAATATTTTTTTTAATTTGTGTATGGGTGTGTGCGCGTGTGCGTGTATCAAGCTATGTATCTTCATGATTTATAGTAGACCGTTTATAAAGTTATTTTATTAATATAATGTTTTAGCCCATCATTACAATTTGAAGCAGCCTGGGCTTTAACAAATATTGCAAGTGGAACATCGGCCCAAACACAAGCTGTAGTTGCTGCTGGTGCTGTACCACTATTTTTACATTTGTTGCTTTCAAGTCAACAAAACGTATGTGAACAAGCAGTATGGGCCTTAGGTATGACATATAATTATTTAAAAAAGTACTATTTAAGTTAAAATGTATATACGTTTTTTAAAAATATGTTATTCTTAACTACATGATAGAATCTAAATATTGTAATAAATGAATTTGTGTTATATGTGTTTTTATTTATTATAGGTAACATTATTGGAGATGGTCCAGTACCTAGAGACTATGTTATTAAACTTGGTGTTGTAAAACCACTGCTAACATTTATTAAACCAGATATACCTATTACATTTCTACGTAACGTAACGTGGGTTATTGTAAACTTATGTAGGAATAAAGATCCACCACCGCCAGTTCAAACCATAAATGAGATTTTACCTGCTCTAAATATGCTTATTCATCATAATGATGTTAATGTAAGTATTGTGATTATATGAATATTAAAAAATATTTTTATTTATAATAAAGATTCTATAATATAAACTTTGTTGCCAATAATTTAATTATAGTGAAGCTGGTTAATGTCTATCTTTCAATCTAAAAAAGCTGCAAAAATTATAATTTATTTTATAGAACTATTTTTCCATTGCACACACACTTTTAAAAAAATATAATAAAATATTAAATTTTATTTATTTTAATTACTTCATTTTTAGCTGATGTAAAAGTTGTTATAATTCTAACAATTTTTTAGATTCTTGTTGACACTGTATGGGCCTTGAGTTATTTAACTGACGGTGGTAACCAGCAAATTCAAATGGTTATAGATAGTGGTGTTGTACCCCGTTTAATACCACTTCTTTCGCACAAAGAAGTCAAAGTGCAAACTGCTGCCCTCAGAGCAGTTGGCAATATTGTGACTGGTACAGATGAGCAAACGCAAACTGTTTTAAACTGTGACGCACTTTCGCATTTTCCAAATTTATTGACTCATCCAAAAGAGAAAATTTGTAAAGAAGCAGTCTGGTTTCTTTCAAATATTACTGCCGGTAATCAATCTCAAGTACAAGCAGTTATAGATGCAGGACTGTTACCACTCATTATTCGTAATTTAGCAAAAGTAAATATGCAGCCTTATATAAATAAATGAAGTGTTATTACTATAACTATATATTATTACGTATGCAACGTTATTTACATTTTGTTTTTATAGGGAGAATTTCAAACACAAAAGGAAGCAGCATGGGCTATTAGTAACCTTACGATAAGTGGTAATAGAGATCAAGTTGCGCGACTTATACAAGAGGGTGTTATTGGTCCATTTTGCGATCTTTTGTCTTGTAAAGATACTCAAGTTGTACAGGTGGTATTGGACGGAATTCATAATATGCTTAAACTTGCTGGATCGCAAGTTGAACATTTGGCTAACATGATTGAGGAATGTGCTGGTAAATATGTTTTATTATTTCAATAGATTTATTTTTTTACATTTTCTTATATAAGAATAAAGTGTAAAAAATTTAATAAGAAGACAAATATGTATGTGTGTTTATATGTATTATATTTTTTTATTTAAAGGTTTGGATAAGATTGAGGCATTACAAAACCATGAAAATGTAGATATTTACAAATTAGCATATGACATTATCGAGCAATACTTTTCAGAAGAGGTGAGACATTATAGCTCTCTTAATAACATTAACATGAATTTTATGTAATTATCTCATTGATTTTAGGCGGATGATGCACCATTGACATCGCACGAAGGAGCTTTTGAGTTCGATCAGACGACGAGTATTCCGAGTGAAGGTTTTAAATTCTGAGAGGGTCTCCATTTCTTATCCGATCGTGCCGTCCCCCGACAAACTCCAACACGGAGTCATCTTGCTTTCTCTTTCCTATTTCTACATCTCCTTCCTATTCCAATGAAAGCATAGCAATATGAACTTACTGCTATTGAATCAATGAATTGTTGCGTTTGTTCTTACAAACATACAGTGTGATTTATCGACTTTTCCGTATTCGGAAAATTAGAACGAAGCAAAGGAAAAAAAGTTAGTTATGGAATGAAGGAGTTGGTAACCAAATTGAGCATTGAATTTTGATTTTTTTTCTTTCCCTTTTCTTATCATGTATGTTTATTACCTTTATTCTTTTATAATATATGATAAACGCGTATTAGCAGTCTTTAGCTGAGCGCAGCTAATTACATAACGTATGTGAGTAAATTATTCTAGAAGTCGAATAACTTCACAATAAGATGTTAAGTTAATGGAAAAAAAGGATCTATCGTGCTTGATCATGCTGCTCTCCACTCTAACTCAGGACGAGTCTTGGTTAGCGATATTACTTTTATAAAATAATTCGTGTATATTTTAGGCATGTTAAATTTATAATGATATTGATTACTAAATAAATGAATCAATTGACTACTCTTTGCTAGCATAATTGATAAGTATGAATATTTCTGTAAGGAGCAGGCAACTAATAAAATTTCAACGGAAATTCGATACAACTTCAACCATCATTCGATGATTTTATTTTGATTTATTAGCATGAAGTTGGAAGTCAAATGTGTCTCTATACTAATTCTTAGTTACTATATAACTATTGTTTGGAAAAAGCATGTAAACTCTGTAAATGATTCTGCAATTATACATTTTTTAATTTAATGTCATACAGATGTATACAATTAAGATTCTTCTTTAAATTCTATTGTGGGATCTGCAAATGAATGTATGTTATCTGCATACAGTTCCTCTGGAAGCGACTCCTCTGTGATACTTGGTAAATACGTAGGGAAATGTGGCGCTGTTGTAGGTTGCCTCAGAGGAAGCAATGTATCATATATATAACAATAAGTATTAATTTCGCCAGGTATATTGTGTCCCAGAACCCAAATCACGTTATACTTGGTATTTATTCGTAAAATCTACAAAGCATAAACCACGTTATCAAAAGAAATGAGTAGTAAATGAGCTTCTAAAACAAAACTTATAAATCTCAAATTTTGGGATATAAATAACATTTCTTATTTTCTAAATATATTTCTTTAATTAGAGATATAATTTACTTACCCGAACACCTCTAATGATACGCCATCTATTACCCATGTGTCCAGGCATTTTAGTGCCAGGCATGACTCTGCTTTTCCCGCCACCTGACCCGATGTTTCCAGGTCTTCTGTGAGTTTTGGTTACGCCATGACTGGCAGGCATCCCTTTAAAGCCCCATCGTTTCATGACACCTTGGAACCCACGGTCAATCCTAAAGAAATTAACATGTTTCAATTTTTCGTAAATAATGAAATTAATTGATATGATTATTCTATTTCTTCTTTTTATAAAATAATACATATAACAATAATATGACAAGATACAAAAATTATTTACGTTTTTCCGCGGATATCGACAATTTCTCCTGGTTTAAAATGTGTAGCAAATAAAGGAGTTCCTGGTTGCAACGCTGCTTCTGGAGATACTATAAATCTTCTTAATACACGTTTTGGCATAACTCCAGTATCATTAAAAATATGGTAATATTCTTTAGCAATCTATACAAGAAGATAATGTCAATTTCACATGGTATAAAGAAATTATTGCATGTAGTTTTTTAATTACATACCAATTGTGGATTTATATTTTCGGCTCCTACTACAAGACATCCGCGTCTGTTTTTTATTTGTATTGCAGGTTTTTTACTTTTTACTGGAAAAAATTGCTCTGGTGGCATGTATTTTACTACTTCATTATCAACAACCTAAATTAAAATATAGAACATAATTTTATATATATATATAAAATAAAATAGAAATTAAAATAATAGTCAAGAGATAGTGCTTGTTAAAGGCTGCTCCATTTACCTGAAGTAATGTCGAGCTGATCCTTTTTCCATTTTTTAACCATAATGGATACACTCCTATTTTCTTAGCAATTAAACCAGTACGTTTCATACCTTGCTTCCACTCTATAGTAGGCTCAATTAGATCTATTTTCAAAGGAGAAAGTTTAGTTTCAAATCCGATAGTGGATGGACCATATTTGTCTTGAACCACTTCATCAAGAAACTGCTTATTATCTTTTGTTAGCTGTTCATTATACAACTATAATAAAAGTATTTTTATGTATTTTTGTGCTATATGCATATATTCTCATATTTGAATATTACATCAAGATAAGAATAAATTATTTATATGCTAGATACATACAACACGTTCTTGTTTTGGAAGCCACTCTGGATGACGATATCTAGGTTTAGGTATATATTTTTCTCGTTTTGGAACAGATACATTGATACTGTAAGTTTACGAAAATATAAAACGTTATAAAGATATATATATATATATATATATATAGAAGAGTCAAAACCATAGTGGTATCAGTATTTAATCATGATTTCAAGAAACAAAGATTTTTTTACATATTTACTTCAGTAAACTACATAAATGACCTTAAACCGATAAGTTTAAAAAAATGACCACTATCGCTTTCATCCCTCCATATAAATCTATATATTTATTATATTAATATTCTATTTAAATATATGTATGAGAATTAAAATATTATCTCTGGGGCACTTCGTATTTATTTATCAAGTACAACTAAATTCTTTTATTTACACATCTTGTACTTTTAGTTTAAGTATACGTTTTAATTATTTTGTACTTGTATTTTGCAGTTTGTAAATATTATGAAAGCTTTAATAACATTATTTTATTACAGCTAATTCATAATACTTACAAGCAGAAAATGAAACATCGAGAAAATTATTAAAGGGTTACAATTTTAAATTGTATTTCCGCTTATTTATATAAAGAAATTTACAAGAATTTATATTATATAATATTTTTTATTTCAGGAACATGCAATTTCAAAGAAACACTAAATACATGTATATTTAAATAATAATTCTCTCAGCACACCTATAAAGTAAAATGTATTCTGCACCTATAAAGTAAAATGTATTCTACGTACAAAATATTACAAAACAACAAACCATGACATACCTTTGTTTCAAGCATTTGTGAAAAAGTTGAAACCCATTAATTGTCTTTAAAAGCGATGTCATTGTTAATGCGATCTCACAATTGCTCTTCTAAAATCACAAATATCAAATAACTATACTATCAAGTAAATTAACCTAAAAACAGAATTCTGGCATCCTAGAATGTTCAAACTAGAGCCTCTATAGTATAAGGCAAAAAAATATTAGCATGATGGAAGGATGATGACCCATCTACAATACACATAGTAAGCTTGGTTTAAGAAGAGTAAGAAATTGACCAATCACAGTCGATTATTCTTCTCACATTCGACTGTGATTGATCAATTTCTTAAGCTCGATCTACAATTGCGTAGACGTAAGGTTATTGGCTCCCACACACAGAACGCGACAACGCTTGCCGCGCGGCGGAAGTTCTCGCACTAGCCAATGGGCTCATTCAGCGGACTCAACAGTTGAGTGAGCGCTCGCTGTTATTGGTGTATTCTTTTAGATCATCCAATCATAATTTTAGATCTAGAAGAATACGTCAATAGCAGCGAACGCTCACTCAACTGTTGAGTCCGCTGAATGCAGCCAGTAATTCTATGTTTTTAAGTCAGCCTCACCTTGCAAAACTTCTAGAAATGATGTAAGGCCGGAATCAGATGACGCATTGAATATTGCTTGCTTTCCAGCAAGGACATAGACACTGTCCACCATTTTAGTTCCTATTGTTTTGATTGGTCAAATTTCAATCTTTCAATCTTCAATCTCAATGGGCGCGTTCAAGTTGACAAAGCGGCTAGCCTGCTCACCGAGCAAATGAACGTAATTGGTTATTACTTATAGATCCAACCAATCATATTCAATCGCTCGATAAGCATGCCTAGCAGCTTTGCAGTCTTGAACTCGCCCAATGTGTCCTTGCTGGAAAGCACCCATTGAGATTGAAGATTGAAAGATTGAAATTTGACCAATCAAAACAATAGGAACTAAAATTTCTTTGTCCTCACTGGTCAAATTTTAATGTTCAATTTGAATCTTCAATGCTTAGTCTGATTCCGGCCTAATACTACTTTCGCCGCGCGGCAAAAGTTGAATTGAGTTCAATATTTTCATTCTCATATAACTCTTATTTCGATCTCTTATTCTGATGGCCTGAAGAACGTTCGGCGTTTAGGCTAATTGCCGGCTTTTAGCTCAACTTCCTAATTTCACCCGACCGTTAAACAAACGATGACGTTCGATACGCAGATTTGGCTATCGGCCGGCATTAAGCGAAAGGCCCAGATTTTTAGCTAACGGCCTGATTTATCTATCGGCCTACAACATATATATTATACACATAAATGAATTTAGTATTTACTTATGCAACAATTTTTTTATTAAAAAAAATTTATATATATATTATATATATAAGTATATTATTTTTAAAGTTATATGTTAAATTTTAGAATATTAACCAATTTAATTGAGGCTTTTAATTTAACTAAAATTAAATATACATTATAATATATCTGCAATAATCTGCATGTATTGCATATATTATTGAAAAATTTTTATGATTATTATAAAAAAATATATAAAGCATCATTTCAATTGAGCTCATACGGAAATCTGAATAAGATGACCTATTAATTATTTGATAAATATAGCTATGAATGAAGGTAAAACAATACTATATACAACGCTGACAATGAGAATAGAAAAGTATGTATAACAGATAAAACTGAACACAAATGAATGAAATGTGTGAATAAATTACTTTTCAGTTATATTATTTTTAAAATCTTTTGTCATGTAATAAAAAATATAAAAATTAATTTTTTTTATTCCATATATGTATATAATAAGTAATAAAACATATTTTCAGTCCATCAATATAAAATTCTTTCTCCAATTTTTAAAATTAGAAAACAATAAAAAATAATTTAACTGATTGTGAGTTTAAAATACTTTTACATTGATGAAATCGGACCTATATCAATCGTTTATCCGAATTTTTCCAAGCTCGTTAAATCATAAATGTACGATATCAACGTATCGTTTATCAGATATACATCCCTCGGGAACTCCTCGTTCTTATCTGTCATAGACTTTGTCCTCCATAAAAAAGACATTTTCTATCGCTTCTTATTCCATGTAGTATTATTTCGAAATGTAAGTTGTTCCAGTTGTTCTTCGTCATTTAAGAATCACCCATCTCGCGTGGAAACACAAACATCTCCGGCTGCTTTATTTTTTTAGACCAACCTCTTACGGCCACCATCTGCATGCATACCGACTTTATGTCACTCGGCTGTCGAACACGACAATCCGCAATGTTCAACGGGTGTAAACCACCCTGCAAATATCTTACCCTCTTTCTGATGTGATTTCAGACGACACTCTTTTCGTACAAAAACAAAATTTAGATATATTACGCACTTCGAAATTTTTATAGATATCATCGTGTAAAATTCTAAGATACTTATTTTTAAAAAATTTAATTTAGAAATTGCAACAAATCCATCTCGGATACTTCGGAGATTATTTAAAATATATATTATTATGGAAGAGAGAGTTGAATAATTGCGTCAATCATGAAAAAAATAGTATAACTTATAAAATTTGTCTTTTAGAAAATTTGTGTAAAGTATTTATAGATAAATATATCTATATAATAATATAGATAAAAAGATAAAATTCCATTTTATCGTCACACAAATAATGCCTTATTGGTTGCGGGATTATTATTGACAAGAATAAGATGTCACCCTGTTGTTTTAAAACCAAAATAACTGTATTAAAATGCAACAGGATAGAAATATAGCTTTTGTCAAACAGGTCTGACGTATGGTGCGAGAAAATGCTTCGGGGAAGAAGAAGAAGAAGAAGAAGAAGAAGCGACGCTATTCTTGTGTCCAGGTGTGAGCTTGTAACGCCAATGTAAATATACAACACTTATGCCATTCCGATGGAGGCTCCTCGGAAACTCTTAACATCTCTCCGCCTCTGTCTCGCATTTCCCGTGTCACTTTTGTATTTCGACTCATTTCTTGCCTACTTGGTACTTGTTTTGATTTTCAGAAACTATAAAACCACCCGTTTTATTAATGATCCACTGGATCCCCGGCGTTAAACCGACGTTATCCCTACGGAATCGGGAACATCAATCGTACGCTAATACCAAATGGCAATCCTTCAAAATTATTTTGGATCGGATCTCGTTGCGTCCCTCACAGAAACGGTCTTTCATTAACTGTTACTCTTCACGAGGGAGGAGACATAAACTCCCCCTTGTGCGCTTCGCAGAAAATGAACAAATTATAAAATGAAATAAAATCTGATAGTTTAACATTTTTCCTTTTTACATTTGAAACATATTGACACAAATGATTGTGAGTATCGCAATTGTAAAAAATACAAAGAAATTCACTTTTATTTAAAATATTAAGAATGGAAGTCTTACATCTCAAAGCATTACCAAAAATGTATAAAATTTATTCTATTATTACGTATCTGTATAAAATTTGAGCACAATTCTTTTATTGGTTTAAAAATCATTTAATTTTTTGTTTGTTTTGATTCTTATATAGAATTGCGGTATTGTACTTTATACTTACAACTTTAATAAGGTCATTACGAATTAAATCAAATTTTTTAATATGTACTCTATAATAAAACTTTAATAAAAATATCCGTGCAAAAGTTTATGTAGATCCATTTACTTGTTTAAAACTTATTTACTTAAAACTGTAGCAAAATATGATTATTTCGCTGCATAAAGTCATTATAAACCAAATTATTTATTATTTTGTCTTTCCAGTTAGTTCAGGGCGTATTTATGCCCTGACAAAAATTTTTTGGATGATATTAGTTGATATTGACCTTTTTGGCTGATACTTTTAGCCGATATATTGCACAGCCAAAACATCTTTCAATATCATTGTAATACGCATACGGTCCGTTAAGAATACAGCAAATTTTTTTCTAATTGTTAGTTTAATTAAAATATATTGTATCGAGTATATGCTGACAAGTGATTTCTGACAAGTTTCGGTAGTAGCATGCATGTGTACTGTGGACACGCGTATTTATTGGGACTCAGACATACATTGAGAAGTATACACGACTTCTGTACGGAACATTCATGTTCTCGAGAGTCGACTTGTTTATCATGATTGGAAGCTGAAACGTTGGGTTGTTCGCCAAGAGTAGCAAAGGGTGGGAGGCAGCAGTTCGTTAGGCAATAATGTATCAAGCTGACCATGATAGCGAATATTACATTTATTTGGCTAAGTTAAATAGTACACAAACTGTTAAGGAAAACAAATTTATCAATTTCCCATGTCTTTTCAATTAAATTATTAGGCAATGAAAAGTTATTGGCATTAAATATTTAATTCGTCATTTAAAACGGAATGAGAGCGCAATGGATGAAACAAAAATTTAAATATGGTCCGAACGAACAACCAAAAAAAAAAAGAAAAAGTTTGATCATCATTTTACATAATTTTTCATATTTTTCCTTTCTCATATCATATTTATTAAAGAATCTGGTTATTTTTGTTTACAAGTAACGATTATACATACAATATAAAATTACTAAATTATATACTCATTATCCTCTCCATTGTATCTGAGAATTGACTTAAAAAAAATCAAATTAAAAGTTAATAGTTACTGATAAAATGTAACTAAATTAAGTTAAAAAGTTAAGAATCCAAAATGTAACTAAGTTAAATTAAAATTAATTAACTTTTTAACTTTTTAATTTAACTTTTATCTTTTTAACTTAACACTACCCAACCCTGCTCATTTGATGTATATTCATCGTCCATTTGATATATATTCTGGCTTTTTTCATTGAAGAATATAAATTTTTTGTAAACTGTACGGTCGGTTTGAATGAAACTTTACGAGAACAAACTTAAGTGTTTACTTTATAATTATAACGATTTTTAAATTGCTGTCTTATACGCAAGTGTCTCATTTAAAAGAGAATAACTACATAATAAGGTTATACCTTCAACTTGTAATGTAAAATTCTATAAATGTAGAATTAAATATCTTCAAAATGATACGATAAAAGTCAATGAAATTTTTTTTCTAGATATTATTTTCTAGATATTGTTATCTTTTGTATTACATGTATATTATAAATTTGTCTTATATTTCATCAAACGA